CATGCTCACTTTGCAGGCGTGTTTGGCGGGGCCGCTGGACGAGTACGAGGAGGGGATGCGTCTCCTCAGCGTGGCCTTCCCGAACCACTGGGGCATCATCTCCCGTGCTGACGACGAGATGAGGCCCGAGAGGTGGGAGCGCATTCGCAGGCGCATCGTATCCGAGGTAGCTGAGAACACCTACCACGGCAGCTTTGCGCCGGAGCGCCCGTGGGAGGCAGTGATCAGGGACAGCGTCAAGTCCGACACGGGGCCGTATACCAATTGGTGGTACGAGCATGTGGATAAGCTGTGCCTCCTGGTGTCGAAGGTGCCCACGGCCCCCGCGCCCGCGGCGGAGCTGGAGACGGTCTCCGGGGTCGCTTCTGACTCGGGGCCAGCGCCGAAGAAGGCCAGGACCAAGGACAAGAAACAGGGTTTAGCGAACATGGATCGGCGGAAGGACGGCCGTTTCCTTCGCCATGACGGCAAGGAGCTCTGCTTCTCTTGGAACCGCCACGCCTCCGGGTGCGAGCCGGGGTCTTGCCCGCAGGGCCGCGCCCACAAGTGCGAGTGGTGCTTGGGAGACCACAGGTCGATCGACGACTCCTGCCGGGCAGCGGAGAGGCCCGAGCGCTGGAGGCCCAAGAGCGGTTGATCGCTGGATGCAGGTCAGGCTCGGCATCGAGACCGTCGTCGGCGCACAAGTGGAGCGGCGCCCTGCCGCATCACCAGCGACGAGCAGAACATCTGGGACTCTGGGCGTTCCACCACGGAACAAACGGACACGGAGCCAGAGAGCATGGGACTTTTTCCGCGCCACCGTATTGGCTGTTATGTGTCAGGAGGGGAAAAACACAAAAGACACACTGAATCGGCGACCCCCAGGAAACCATGGGACAATGAGGGAGGAAGGGGGGAAGACGAAAAGTCAGAAGCTGTGGGAAAACATAAGGGTTCCTGTCATTTGTGTATGTTTACTTGTGTGTCGTTGGGCCCACTTTATGTGGTTGTAATCATGTTCGTCCTGCTGGACTGACTTCTCGATTCGGACCGCGACGTTGTCTGGGCCCTTGCCGTGGGCGCTGGTCATGGTGATGCGCTCTTGGAGCAGAACACCTTCCAGTGACGTTACATGCCTGGTCGCATGTCGTTTGTATACTGCTCGCCGGCACACGGAGACGGGTTCCTCGTCCCCGCTTATTTATCGTCTGTGTGTGCACGGCTTTGGGCCAATTTGACCCTTAGTTAATTCTTTGCGTGCGTGACCTTGGCGCGGCTATGTGCGCCCTGCGACGTCGCGAACTGCTGCCGGGAAGAAGTCATCTGCGATTGGCTTGCGCCGAGGTGCGCCGAGTGCTCACGGCGCGCGAGGTGCAACGCCTCTCAGGGGGCGTGGCGCTTGACGGGGGGTGTCCCCATCGCCCTCGTCGCGACCAGCCGACAGGGGATGCCGCAGTCGTCCGTTCGACACCGCGGAGCAACTTCTAGAACCAGTGGTGCTTTGCCGATCCGATGTCTCGATCAAGAATCGGCGGCGGGGGGGGGGAAGTGGGAAGGAGAAGGCCTTCTCAGAAGTCTCGGAGGCCCCCCGGCCTGCTGAGAAATTTCCCAAGCTTTCCCCGGAGACCGCAGACGCCTCTCAGAGTGCGCGAGAGCTTCTGAGAAGTCCCGCCGCCTTCCGAGACGGTCTTCTCCTTCTCACTTGCCCCCCCCCTCGCTCGCCGCCGAAGGAAGGTCTGACGAGGGCGGCGGTGACATCCATGGCCAGGCCTCAGTCGGTGCTGCACTGGCCCCCAGGCCCTGGACTCACTGTATCGCCCCTCTGGCGGAGGAGGTCGGCGGGCTCGCCGGAGGAGGAGGAGGAGGAGGAGGAGGAGGAGGAGGAGGAGGAGGAGGAGGAGGAGGAGGAGGAGGAGGAGGGGGAGGAGGGCGAGGAGGAGGGGGAGGAGGAGGAGGGATTCTGGGATTCTGGGATTCTGCCGCGGCGACGCATGTCGGTGACTAGCGCCGTGCGGTGGAGGCCAGGGAAGAAGGCCTGGCTGCTGGGGGTGCATTCGGCACCAAGACTGAAGAAGCCACCCGCTGTGGGTGAATTAGGGCAGGAGGCCCGCCACTGGCCTGACACAAGGAATGGCCCAGTGTCAGCCAGAGTCGGAGGAAACAGACGCGGGATGGGGCCTGCTGTCAGGCTCCTGTCGGAGCTGCGCCGCCGCCGCGCTTGGCACTGCCACACTCGCTCGCTGCTCGAGCGTGGAGGCATTATTGGGCCAGGGAGGGGCAGGGCGACGCGACGACGTCTCGACGGGACGACTTCCACCCTCCACTGGCCCTGGTCGCACAGGCTCAGCGCCAATTGCAGAGCTAGCGTTTCGTCCTGGCGGGTCCCTGGAAACTCCGACGGGGCCCAGCGGACCAAAAGCCGACACAAAATCGCCGCCCCACGGTTCCAGGACAACCCCCGTTTTCGCGTGACGGCCTACCTCTGCACTGCGCCAGTACATTCGATGATTCTCCAGCGTGCTGGCGACCCGAGCTGGCCCTGCGCAGCTCGATTTCAGCTTGCGACACTGGCTATTAGGGAGCACCCAGTACCCAGCGCAGAGCTGGCAAATGACAACTCGGCCATGCCGCTCAGGGCGATGACCTAGATTCGAAAAAGCGTTCAACCCCAAGCGTTCAAAAGTGGTAGCAAGGGGAGGAGGGTCCACGGCCCGAGGAGGAGCAAGGTCTCCCGACACCGCTGGGCTCTGCACCGCATATGGCTGGGCATCAGGGTCGGCGGTGATCAAAATAGCCGCGCGGCAGCGCTCTAGATCTCCACCGTAACACTGCCTCGCGGCTCCGCTGACAACTGATCTGAGCGTCAACTCGCTCTTGGCCGCCACATTACAAAGTTTGCACCTCCAATCCTGACGCGGGGAGAGGTAATCGATTTCGTGCGAAATCAAAGCGAGACGGTCACGCTTCTCGGGGCTAGGGGGCAATCTCTCAGGCCTCTCGAAGGCTTTAGGGTACTCCCCGATAGCCTGGACCGCACGCGCCAAGCAGCCCCAGTCTTGCTTGCAGGCCTTCAAACGGTCCCTCTCAGCTTCAACCGCCACCTGAGCATACTATACTGGTGGTCCTGGGCCCACAGGCTCAGGAGGGGAAACAACACACATACACAATTAATCGTCCACTCCCAGGAAAATATGGGAAACTATGGGAAGTGGGGGGGAAGACAACAACTCAGAAACTATGGGAACGTATGGGGAATCCTTTTTATGTGTGTGTATTTATGTGTGTGTCCCAGGGCCCCTTCACAGGCGTGCGAAAAAATCGGCCCAATGGTTGCCCAACAATCGGGGGACCTGTCCCTGCTCCAGCGCCATCACCTCCCCGAGGTCTCTGTGAGCAGGGACCCACTCAAACGATGGGGGAGCGCGGTCGGGCTCGCCGAGCTGAAGGATCTGCCTCCAGATGTCCGCATGCCTTGCAGTACCGCCTCCAAGCTGGCGATTCCAGCTATTACCCTCTCTCACAAAAGTTTAAAGGTCACTATATATATGGATATGGTGTCTACTTGGGAGGAGGAGGGGGAGGAGGAGGAGGAGGGAGGAGGGAGGAGGGATGAGGGAGGAGGGAGGATGAGGGGGAGACGGAGGAGGAGGAGGAGGAGGAGGAGGAGGAGGAGAGGAGGAGGAGGGAGGAGGGAGGAGGAGGGAGGAGGGAGAGGAGGAGGGAGGAGGGAGGAGGAGGAGGGAGGATGGGGGAGGACGAGGAGGAGGCGGAGGAGGAGGAGGAGGAGGAGGAAGAAGAACAAGAGGAATACTAATAGTAATAATAACAGTAAGAATCAAAATAAGAATAATACGAGCACGAATAAGAATAATAAGCACACTACTACTACTAATAATGCTAATACTAATAATAATACTACTACTAATACTAATAATAATGATAATCATAATCATAATCATAATCATAATAATAATAATAATAATAATAATAGTATAATAATAATAGTAATAATAGTAATAATAGTAATAATAGTAATAATAATAACCATATTCATAATAATAAGAAAACCAATAATCAAACTACTAATAATAATAAAAGAAGATGAAGAAGAAGAAGAGGAGGAGGAGGAGGAGGCGGGGGAGGACCTCCACCCATTCTTGGACGGCGTCACGTCGCCAACTCCCCGCCGTAGTCTCCGCGCGGTGCGGGGTCCATCTGGTGACGGGCGCGGCGTTGTCTGCCCTGACCCGCGGCGGTCCTCGCCCGCCGCGGAGGCATGCGGCGGTGCGGTGCTGGCGGCATCGGGCGGCGGCCTGCTCTGTCACGCTTCCCTGGTGCCTGACCGCGTGCGCCGTTCTGCTGCTGCGCGCGGGGCCGAGGCTCTCACGCCGGGCGGTGTGCCTTCCACTGCCGTCGCGACGGCGTGTTCTTCAACTCTGCGGCCCCCTCCTGGGCCACAGTCCCTCTGATCCTCTCGGCCGCGCGCTGAGGGGGGCCCTGCTCCTGAGAAGGCGCGGGCCTTGTCTGCAGATGGTAAGAGGTCCGCGCCAGCCGCGCCCTCCTGGGCCACAGTGCTCCTTACCCTCTCGGCCACGATCAGAGGGGGGTACGGGGAGGAGAAGGCTTCTTAGAAGCAGCCTTCTTCTAAGAAGCCTGCCCCCCTCCCCCTGCCCCCTCTCTGTGCGCCGCGAATCCCAGCCCTCCTCGTCCTCCTAAGTCATTCATTGCCTGAGTGCGCTGCCTTTCTTCCCCCTCCTCCGCGGCCGCCCTCCTCTGCCCCACCCCCTCCCTCCAGTTTGTGCCCAGCTCGCCCAGCAGCACCTCCACTTGGGCTACGAGGGCGGTGCGCGATCGTCACCGCTGCGACCAACAAGTTTCGCGTTTTGCGTCGTGTTCTCCACGTCGCGGTCCCTCTCTCGGTCCCTCGCTCGCCCTTGTTGGGCCTCTCTCTGCTCTCTGCCTTCTTTCTCTTGGAGTCCGGGTCGGATCGGGGTTGCTGATCAGTGTGGGCTGCCTGCAGGCTCCCTCGTTCGTGGGCATCGGGCGGTGCAACCATGCCGACGTGTCTGGAGCTCGACGTGACGTAGCAGGAAGGAGTAGCAGGATAGGGGGTGGGAAGACGGGGGATGGGAAGGAGGGGGGACGGGACGGATGGGGGATGGAGGCTAGGATGGAGTAGGAGGATGGGGGATGGAGGCTGGGGGATGGGGGATGGAGAAAAGAGGAGGGAAGATGGGGGACGGGGGATGCAACAGTCATGGTGTTCCAGCTGTTGAGCCAGCCTGGCTCACCTGGCAGACCCAGCAGATCGCACAGGGCGGACTCCGTCAGGCGGACGGGAGCGGAGGGGCGAGTGAACAGGAGGGCGGCGCGGACGGGGGGATGACGGGGGTGCGGCATTCGACTTGACTGTTTGAAGTGTATAAGGAGGATAGTGAGCGCACGTATGCATGCGTCGAACCGAAGTGCCCGCGCAGTCGAGAGAGGTCCGACATGGGGTTGAGCATCAGTACTCCTTTAGAATGCCGAGCGGAAGTGCTTGCCTGCATCGGGCGAGATCGCAGAACGCGGGGCTGAAGATCCCAAGCCGAAGAAGCCTTCGGCGAGCGACCGCCGCCCCCTACCTCCTCCTCCTCTCCACCTCCTCATCTTCCTCCTCCTCCTCCTCCTCGTCCTTGTCCTCGTCCTCTTCCTCCTTCACCTCCCCCTCCCTCCTCCTCCTCCTCCTCCTCCTCCTCTTCCTCCTCCTCCTCCTTTGCGGATCCGCGTTGGTGGCCAGACGTTTCGCAAGATGTTGGTCAAGCTGCCGGCCCGTGTGCCTCCCCCCCCGGCTTTCGCGGCAACGGTGGGGAGCAAACTTGGCAATCTCCTGTCGCTCGGGGGTCTGTTGTGGCACTTTATCTTGGGGGCCGTCTGGACACAAAAGGGTCGGTACGGATCTGCACCACCTGGCGCCGATACGTTCCGAGCACGCGGGCCTGGTGTCTGCGGGCTGTGCTTCGATCAAGGAGCGGGTGGGGTGTGCGTCAGTGCTCCGTGGTGACATGCAGCTTTGATGGCAGGTGCACGTGCTGTCTCTGCCAACAGAAACAGGGATCGGCTCAGCCGCGCAGCCTGGTGGCCCCGCAAGGGTGCCGGCTAAGAACTCTTCTTCTCGGAACTGTGCTCGTGCCTTCACCCTCTCCTGATTATCCTCTTTCTGCTCGTGCTCCTTTTTGTCTGCTTCCTCTCAATCACTTTCTCGTTCTCATGCGTTTCCTCCTCCTGCTCCTGAGTATCACTGCCGTCCTCATCCTGATTCTCGCTCACGTCCCTGCCCTCGTCCTCTTCCTCATCCTCTGCCCAATCCCGTTCTCGTCCGCATCCCCGTCGCCATTCTCATCCCCATCCTCGTCCTCAGACTCATTTCCATCCTTCGGTTGACTGAGGTGCTGGGTCTGCGTTCTAAGGCTGCGCGCTCTATCGCAGGACCCCGTGCCGCTTGAGTTCTGCCACCATCCCCGCAGTTGATGCGCGCTCTCCTCCTTGCGCCACGCGCCATCTTGGCTTCCCGCATCCTGGCCTTCCTGTGTGCCAGCCAACCGTCCATCCAGAGGCCATCCATCCTGTCGACCCGTTGTTTACCAGCCAACCAGCTCTCCTCCGGTGAGATGTGGCGGGGGCAGTGGGGAGATCGAGAACGAGGGAGCAAGAGGATTGGGATAGGGGGAGGGGGGAACATGAAAGAGGGAGAGAATGTGAGGGAGGAGGGGGGGAGGAAGGGGGAAGGCAGGGCAGGGAAAGGGGCGTGGGAAGGGGTGGGGGCGGCGACGAGAGAACATGGGAATAGGGGGTACGGCGACAGAGAGGAGAGAGGGGATGGACGAGGGGGAGGTAGGAAGGCGGGTGAGGAAGGACGGACGGGAAGGCATGATGGATGGGACAGAGGCGAGGGTGGGGAGGGTGGAGGCAGGGTGGGGTGATCCTGGTCGTCCTCCTTGTGCTGCTGCTTCTCTTCTCCTCTCCATTCTCGTCCTCTGCCTCGTCGTCCTTCTCCTCTGCCTCATACTTTTTTCGCTCGCTGTCTTCTTCCTCCCCGGCCTTATCCTCCTATTCCTCCTCCTCCTTCTCCTCTTCCTCCTCCCTCTCTTGCTCCTCCCTCCTTCTCCTTCGCCCTTCCCCTGCGCCCTGCTATCCCCCTCCTCTCCCACACTCTTTCTCCCGCTTCTCTTCCTCCGAAGGGGGCATCTGGAGGGCGGGAGACAACCCCCAGATCCATCCGTCGGTCTGTTCGTCCACTCGGTCATCCGTGCGTCCATGCCTATAGGTGACCCGCGTGCAAGGCAGCGGAGGATTTGTCGGGGAGGCAGAAGGGGAGGCGAGGCGAGGGGAGGAGGGATTGACTGCAGGGGAGCGTGGGAAGGGCTTCATCGCATTCGGGAGGTGGTAGGTGCGACGGGAAGGAGGAGGAGGAGGAGGAGGAGGAGGAGGAGGAGGAGGAGGAAGAGGAGGGGGAGGAGGAGAAGGACCAGTGTAAACCCAAGAGTCATCAACGATGTTGGAGTCAACCCTCCCTCCAAGCTCCCTCTTCATAGGCCCTACAACGGTCCATTTCCATTGATGGAACTGCCTAGTTGGAAGACGCCCGTTTGAAGACCCTGAAGCATGCCAAAACATAGTTCTCGGGATTCCAACTCCACGGATCAACCTGACTGTTGCGTCTTGGCGATCCTGAATCGTGCCAGAACGCTATCCTTAGGACGTCAACTCAGAAAACCAACCTAACCGTTGCACCCGCATAATTCCGACTCTTTTCCAAACATCAGTTCTGGTACGTCGATGATGGGGATCCGTGAAACTCTTGAATTCTTCAAAGCGACTGTGCGCGGCGCTAAGGCGAGAGCCACATTTTGAGAAGGAACCGCCCTCAATCCGTGAAGCTCTTGCAAATGTTTAAAACGAATGTGCGCGGCGCTAACGCGAGAGCCACATTTTGAAAACCACTCGCCCTCAATTCGTGAAGGTCTTGCACATGTTTAAAACAAATGTGCACCGCGCTGAGGCGAGAGCCGCATTTTGAAAACCACTCGCCCTCAATCCGTGAAGCTCATGCAAATGTTTAAAACAATTTGCGCGGCGCATAGGCGAGAGCCACATTTTGAACACGACCCGCCCTCAACTCGTGAAAATCCTGCAAAGTTTTAAACCGAATGTACGCCGCGCTGAGGCGAGAGCCACATTTGGAAAACCACCCGCCCTCCATCTGTAAAACTGTTGCCAATTTAGCAAGCTTCAGAATCATAAATTTTGGGGAAGTCTCAGGCGAAACGCCCGGCCCGCCCTAAAAATTGGTTTCGGGGTGCGACAGGGAGAAGTTTTCATAAGGACAAGCAATGGAGGAGTTGGAGGGCCGAAACCACTACGGATACCCGCCTCTGGCGTCCCAGCGTGGCACCTCAGCGTGGCACCTCAGCGTGGCCCCCCAGCGTGGCCCCCCAGCGTGGCCTCCAGGCGTGGCCCCCGGAGACACGACCCCCACGGGACGAGCGCGTGCAGGGACAGTGAGGCTGTTCGGGCATCCTATTTCTGATACGCACACGCACACCCATATTTTCATATGTATATGTATAAGTATGTGTATACATGTATACGTATATGCATACGTATTTGTATACGTATACGTATCTGAATACGTATATGTATGTGCACATGTATATGTACATTGGAATGTTTATGTGTATGTTTTTTTATATATATATATCTTTATGTCTATGTTTATCTGTATGTTGATTTATGTGTATATGTATATGTATATGTATATGTATATGTATATGTATATGTATATGTATATGTATATGTATATGTATGTGTATACGTATATGTATATGTATATGTATATGTATATGTATATGTGTATACTGAGCGTTCCAGACAATGCCTTGCCATCGAGGATTGAAGGAGTTGACAGCTCTTCATTGGCGGAAGCCGGCGGAAGCTCGGCGAAAGGTGGCAGAAGTAAAATATGTGCCCCTAAGAAATGAAATCGTTTTTGGGTTCAGTTCCGAAACCGCACATTTTCAATACATGTATCCATGTATTCATAATCTTTCTGTACGTGTATCATATTGATATGTAGATGGCTGTGAGAGAGGGAGAGAGAGAGAGAGAGAGAGAGAGAGACGCCGATCTCGCAGGACTACCGGTGCCCCGTCTGCAAGGAGGAGCTCGAGGACGTGGTCATCACGAGCGATGCGTCTCGGTGCCTTGCGGCGCTGCCAGCGCAGAGGGAGGAGGATAAGGAGGAGGAGGAGGTGTTTGAATACCTCCGTATTGACATGTTGGGGGTTACACCAGAGAAGAACCCAATGAGTGCATTTTTGGATCGATAAGGAGATTGACGGAACCCAGGAACCTGGAACCCATCGAAATCGGCCCGGAACCAATCACCAAGAACCTGGGGAGCTGGAACCGGGAACCCGGGAACCCAGCCGCCCACCAACATCGGCGGGAGATCGACGGAACCCAGGAACCTGGAACTCACCGAAATCGGCCCAGAACCAATCACCAGGAACCTGGGGAGCCGGAACCGGGAACCCGGGAACCCAGCCGCCCACCAACATCGGCGGGAAATTTTCGCCAACTCTTTTTCAATTTCCGCTAGGACCCCTTCAGTGCAAGCACTGCTTGGGGGAATGCAGTGGTTTTGCTGTAGGATCGCGACGTGCACGCGCGGATACGCGCACGCGCGCGCCCGTCTTGTTTGACACTGTGGCGAGCTCGTGGCGGTCGTGGAACGCCTTCGACGTGCGCGCGCGTGTGGCCCGCAGGGCCTCGCTTGGCAGAGCGGCACAGCACCTGTGGCCTTCTTGAGGTTCCAGTGAGCGCGCGCGCAGACTTCGGACAACCCTTATGTTGAGCAGCCGATGTTCTGTGATAGAGTTGGGCTAGCTATGTATTTCGCAGGCCTAGAGGTTGACACCAACACCAATTCCGCCGGTGTGCCTCCACTGAGGGACGAAGATCCCGATCTCGGCGATGGTGTTCGTTTTCTGGCTTCCAAGGTGGCCGCTTTATTACCACCAACACCGAAATCTAGAATCTTCTTTCCCCTGTGGAGGCAACCTTCTGTGTTGGTGTTCGTGCCAATTTCCAGGCCTCCAAGTATTGGAATAGCTCGAGCATGAAGGCTTGTCTGACTGATTGGGACATGCGCGCGGGGCGGTGTCCGCATGTGGCCCACATTGTTTTTTTCCTGCAGGGGGGCCTCAGAGCAAACGCTTCTCAGATCAGTGCATGGTGTGGTGCTGTTTGGTTTCTAGGATGCACGATCGTGCGGAATAAATTGTCAATTCGATGCTTCGTGGGTCACGGATAATTATGTCCCTGGCATGTTTTTTTTGCTTGTTTGCGTTAATATATGCCAAGTATATGTATGTATTGCGCGCTCTATGTGGTGCGCGCTATGTGGTTCGAAAGGTGTGGTGCAGCCTTTGTAGTGCAACGCGTGTGGTGCAACCGGTATGGCCACTCGATATGGTGCAATCGACGTGGCTCGATTTATCTGGTGCCATCGGCGTGTTGCAGTCTGCGATGTGCAATCTATGTGGTGCGTGGCAGCCTAGTAGTCCAGAAACCCACGGCCAGCGCACGAGGAGGCCATGAGAAGTTGCCCCTGGGCTCCCACAGTAGCCGAACACCCGGAAGACCCAGGCAGCGCATGAGGCTCCACGAGGCGGCCGCGAGCGTGAACCGGCGGAACAACCCGACGACCGACGAGACCCCCTCGCGTTGCGAAAAAATCACGACGGGAGGTTTTTCGCTATTTTCGGCCTCCGGCGGGCCCTCGCGGGGCCCCAGGAGCGTCAAAAAACAACTCAGGATGAAGAGCCGGTCTCGGGGAAGGGGTCTGGACTTCTGGGGGTCGACGTTGTGAAAAAAACATGATGTCGGGGGTCTTCACGTATGCTGTCCTGTCTGCTCTTCTGTTGGTGCTCTCGCACGTGCAGCAGCGTAGCATTATCCTCACGATGTGTCTGTACTGCCTATCCCCAGCGTCTTTCGCCGCCAGGGTGCCATCTCATCGGAGCCTACGAAGAGGTAAGGCTGGGGCAGAACGCCCAGACCGCCCTACGGGCACGTCCGGTGATGTGACACGACTTCCGTAGCCATTTGGGCTCAAGTGCTTTGCGCGAAACCGATTTTGTGCCGCGCGACTGCCTAGCGGACCGCCCTCCAGAGCATAGGCGATGCCCGCGGCGCGCACCATGCAGGCGGGGCTGCTCTTGGCGATCCTGGGGTCTGCGCGTGCGACGTGCTTGAAGCCTGGCTACGACATGGGTGACAGCGCCAACAGCTGCGGCTACGCGCCCGAGGTGAAGGTCTTCGGCGGGCCAGGCTACGACTTCTCCGCTCACTCGTGGATCGCGAGCAAGGGAATCTCGACCGAGGCCGTCGGAGCCGCGGACGAGCTCGACTCCGCCACTGACTGCCAGGCCCTGTGTCTCGACGCAGGGGCCGACTATTTCGCATACGATCCCGCCGCACTGTGCGTCTGCAAGGCGGAGTATACAGACGCTTCTTGCTACCCACTCTACGCCCCCTACGAATCAAGCAGCGCCATGGTCGCAGGCCCGGCTTCATGCGGGACATGCTTCCGAGTGGACCATGACATGGGCGCCGACTTCAACGGCTGCGGCTACGCGCCCGAGGTGAAGATCTTCGGCGGGCCTGGCTACAACTTCTCCGCTCACTCCTGGATCGCAAGCAAGGGCATCACGACCGAGGCCGTCGGAGCCGCGGACGAGCTCGACTCCGACACGGACTGCCAGGAGCTTTGCTTCGGCGCGGGAGCTGCCTACTTCGCCTACGAGCCTGGCCAGCTCTGCGTCTGCAAAGACCCGTATGAGGCCTCGAATTGCACTTTGTTCGGGGAGCGGGCAAACATCACTGCCGGACCGACAGTGTGCCAAGATTGCTTCAGAGGCAGCGACATGGGCGCCAACTTTAACGATTGCGGCTTCGCGCCCGAGGTGAAGATCTTCGCCGTGTCTGGCTACAACTTCTCCGCTCACTCCTGGATCGCGAGCAAGGGCATCTCGACCGAGGCCGTCGGGCATCTCGACTCCGCCAGCGACTGCCAGGCCCTCTGCCTCGGCGCCGGGGCCGACTACTTCGCCTACGAGCCTGGCCAGCTCTGCGTCTGCAAGGATGGATATTCGGATGCGAATTGCATTCTCTACGGACTGAATGCTGGCGCCCCGGACATCACATCGGGCCCGACGCAGTGCCCTGGATGCATCATGGACGGGCACGACACTGGGGGCTCGGAAAACGTCTGCGGTTATGCAGTCGAGGTGAAAATCGTTGCAACAACCGGCTATGATTTCAGCGAGCCGTCATGGATCGCGACCAAGGGCATCCCGACAGCGCACGTGGACAACCTCAGGACGCCGTATGATTGCAGGATGCTCTGCTTGAACGAGACCGGCTGCGCCTTCTTCGCTTTCGATGCATTGAAGCAGCCGGGGAAGGGTTTCTGCGTCCTCAAGCAATCGTATGACCACCCATCATGCGCGCCACAATATCAGGAGGATGAAGACATTGCTTCGGGCCCGGCCTATTGCGGAAACACAGACTCGTGCGGGATCCTGACATCGTATTACCAAGTGGACTCATGCTGTGCCGCCAGTACTACATCTGCCGCCAGCGTCTCGTCTACAGAGGAGGTCGGCGTCGTCAAGACCACGTCGTCAGAAAATCCCAACGAAGCTTCGTCCGCCTGGGGGTCCTCTTCTTTCCCAGTCACCACGGTAGTTCTCTTATGTCTGGCTCACGGGGGGAGTGGCGCTTCCAAGAAGCTCCCGTGAGGGCCCCGCCCCTTTTCAGCAGGCGCACAGCGCGTGTGACTCTCCGGCGGCCATTTTTTCTGCTGCCCGCGGCTGATGTCTTTCTTACCGAGGAGTTGTGTTGTTGCTGCTGATGCTGATGGTGATGGTGCTGGTGTTGTGGTGATGTGCGCGGTGTTTTTGGTGGTGGTGGTTGTCTTGTTGTTGGTGGTGGTGATGATGATGATGATGATGATGATGATGATGATGATGATGATGATGATGATGATGATGATGATGATGATGATGATGATGATGATAGAATCATTGCTGGGGTGCGTAAGTGAGAGAGAAGTCGGCGCTTGCAGAATTAACTTGACGTTTTTTCAGTAGGAGCGGTCCCCGGATGAAGTGATGGACGTGCCCCCACATGGCCGCCTTTCTGCCGCCCGCAGCAGCCCTGCAGCGATGGCAGTTTTGAAAGCGGGTGTCCGTCCAGTTTAACCTTCATCCCCTGCAACTTGCAGCGGACTGGCCTTTTGAAGGCAGGTGGGCGTGCGGTCTGCCGTCGCACCCCCGCTCGCTCCGAGTTTCAGACGGCACTCTGCACCGAACTGCAGCGCCGTGATGATGTAGCCACGGCCCCGCTGGTGCCCGCCCGAGGAGCGCGCCCGCGCCCGAAGCGCAGGACCTCCTCCTCCTCCTCCTCCTCCTACATTTAAGTCGGGCACGTCCCTCTACAGGAGGAATATTCAAAATAGTCAAAATAATCGTATGAGGACGATTTATTGAGTATTTTTTTACCATATGGGGGTATTCTTGAGTAGTATTAGTTTCATGTCGAAAGTCTTCCTGTAGGGAACCACGCCCGACTTAATCCTACATGGAGCGGGCGTGGAACAGGGGCAAGTGGAGGCGGATGGGGGCACGCAGCGGGAGGAGGAGGAGACAGGGGAGGAGCCCCTCCCCTTCCTGTTTTCTCCCTCCCCTCGCTGCAGGTTTCCGAGCCCGGCGAGACTGGCTGAGCTTCCGCGGGACCGACCGCGCGCGCCCCGCCCCGTCCGGCCGACGCTTCTCCGCGAGGAGGACGAGGACGAGGATGGGGATGCTGCTTCTGGGGAGGAGGAGAAGGACGAGGAGGAGGAGGAGGAGCAGGAGGAGGAGGGGGAGGGGGAGAGGAGGAGGAGGAGGAGGAGGGGAGGGAGGAGGAGGAGGAGGAGGAGGAGGAGGAGGAGGAGGAGGAGGAGGAGAGGAGGAGGAGGAGGAGGAGGAGGAGGAGGAGGAGGAGGAGGAGGAGGAGTGGGAGGAGGAGGAGGAGTGGGAGGAGGAGGAGGAGGAGGAGGAGGAGGAGGAGGAGGAGGAGGATAAAGGAGGATAAAGGAGGAGGATGAGGAGGAGGAGGAGGACGAGGATAAAGGAGGAGGACGAGGCGCGAGTGCAGGAGGGGGGAATGGGGGTAGGGGGCGTGGGGAGAAGGAGGATGAGGAGGCTCCATATCAGACTGGTGCCACCTGTGCCCCGTGCCCCATGCGCCTCCTCCTATCCTCCTCCCCTCCTCCAGGCATGCGGCTTCCTGACTTTTTTCAGTACGGCGTCCCTGGAAGTCCCGACCCTTTCCCCGGGTCCGGATTATCATCCTGAGTCGTTTTTTGACGGCCCCCGGCCCAGCGAGGGCCTCCAGAGGCCGAACGCGGTGAACAACCTCCGCCCTCAATTTTTAACGACGCGATCAAGGCTGGGTGCTTCTTCTCTTCAGTTCCTCTCCCTTATCAGTAATTCCTCCCTGTCGCACCTCGAGCCCAGTCGAATGGGCGGGCCAGGCGTTTCGCTTGAGGCTTGCTCACCAGTGATGACCCTGAAGCTTAAAACTGGCAACAGTTTCACAGATGGGCGGCTCGTGGTTTTCAACATGTGGTTCCCGCCTTGGCGCCGCGCACATTCGTTTTAAACATGTGCAGGAGTTTCACGGATTGAGGGCGGGTAGTTTTCAAACTGTGGTTCTCGCTTCAGCGCCGCGCACATTCGTTTCACATCATTGCAAGAGTTTCACGGATTGAGGGCGGTTCCTGTTCAACAGATGGTTATCGCGTCAGCGCCGCGCACACCAGTATTTGGGAATTGCCAGGGTTTCACGGACGGATTTGCATGATTCACATCAGTGCTTTGGAATGATTCAGGATCTTCAGGGCGCAGCAGTGCCGTTGATCCGCGGTCTTGAATTCCGAGAAATGGTGTTCTGGCACGTTTCAGGATCGTCGAGACGCAACTGTCAGGTTGACTCGTGGTGTTGGAGTTCTGAGAATGGTGTTTTGGCACGCGTCAAGATTTTCACACGTTTGTCCCCGAGCGGCGCACCCCCCTCAGTGGAAACGAACCTTTGCAGGGGCCGATGAAGAGGGAGTTTGGAGGGAGGGTTTATTCCGACATCGTTGACGAGTCATGGGTTTGCACTGATCCTCCTCTTCTTCCTCCTCCTCCTCCTCCTCCTTCCTCCTTCTCCTCCCAAATCTCCTCCTGCCTCCTCTCCAGTTGCCGCTCCTCGTCAACACATTCGTCTTTAACACATTGCAAGAGCTTCACGGACTATCATGGTCAGCGTGTCAGAACTTGTGTGCGTGTCGGAGCGATTCAGATCGTCGGCGCGCAGCAGTGACGTTGATCCGCGGCGCTGAATTCCCAGGAGTGGTGTTCTGGCACGGTTCAGGATCGTGAAGGCGCAACAGTCAGGTTGACTCGTGGTGTTGAAGTCCTGAGACTTGTGTTTCGGCACGCGCCAAGATTTTCACACGTTTGTCCCCCAGCGGCGCACTTCCCTCAGTGGAAATGAACCCTCGCACGGGCCTGTGAAGAGGGAGCTCGGAGGGAGGGCGTATTCCAACATCATGGATGAGTCTTGGGTTTGCACTGGTCCTCCTCCTCCTCCTCCTCCTCCTCCTCCTCCTCCTTCTCCCAACTCTCCTCCTCCCCCTCCGCCTCCTCCTCCTCCTCCTCCTCCTCCTCCTCCTCCTCCTCCTCCTCCTCCTCCTCCTCCTCCCCTCCGCCTCCTCCTCCGCCTCCTCCTCCTTCCTCTCCTCCTCCTCCTCCTCCTCCTCCTCCTCCTCCTCCTCCTCCTCCTCCTCCTCCTCCTCCTCCTCCTCCCCCTCCTCCTCCTCCTCCTCCTCCCCCCCCTCCCAGATCTCCTCCTGCCTCCTCTCCAATTGCCGCTCCTCTTCCCGGCCTCCCCCCCGCAGCCGCTCGGGGCCGTCGGCCGGAGCGCTCGCACCGGCCACGGCTGGCACTCCGCGGCGGTCGTGCTGACGAGGGGGGGTGCGGCCGAGAGGGGGGGTGATGGCCAGGGCGAAGTCGGGCGTGTCCCTCCACAGGTGGAAAACTCGAGACTAGTCCCAAGAATAGTCAGGGGACGCTTTTTGGAATTCTTTTCGACTGTGTGTTGCATATTTTTGGGGCATCTTTTATTTTTCGTCCAAAAGCCGCCTGTAGGGGGACATGCCCGACCTTGGACCAGGGCCAGCCACGCGCAGCCGTTTCTGGACCGTCCTGGGGCCCGGCGTCCCCCGGATCAGCCACGCGCAGAGGGCGGTGTTCAGGCTTTTCGGGCAGCGTTCAGGCTTGCCGATGTTCGAGTTCAGGTCTTCGGGCGGCGTCCTTGGTTCTCAACGGCTTTCCAGCCTCGGCATGCGTGTCAGCAGCTGCGCCTCGCCGAGTGCGTTCCAGGGGTGCCCGGATCGTCCCGAGCGGCCGCCGGAGACGCGAGCGATGTCCCGAAGACCAAACACGCCCCCACGCGCCGAGGGGGCTTCGGGGCTGGGCGAACAGGCTTCTTAGAAGCACCCCTGCTTCGTAGAAGGCGTGGGCCTTGTCTGCAGATGCAGGGCCAGCGCCTTCTGGGAAGCAGCCTCCTTCCAAGAAACCTTCCACCGCACTTCGCTTCGCGCCTCCAGAAGTTTAATGTTTATGCACTTTTGTCTTCCTAGCTCTGTCCTGGGCGCCTTTCGGCGTCGAGCCCACCTCGCCTGCGCGGCTCGCTGCCCGGGGAGGTCGCGGCCGAGCAGGCGGTGCCCGAGGCGCTGCGCAGCCGGGGGGGCTCAACCTCCATGGAGTTCTCGGCGCTGGACCCGGCGGTGTTCTCGGGGCAGGATTCGCTCGGCCTTGCGGAACAGGCGTCCGTCTTAGCCTGGCCCCAGCAGCTTCGCAGAAGTCTCTACGCTGTGGTGCATGGCCTCACTCCAGGCCTTCGTGGACCTCGAGGCGCATCTGTGTTCGAACGGCCACGTCGTGCGAGGTGAAAGTTTGTCCGAGGTCGGGGTGCAGTGGCAGCGCAATGGAGTTTACATCAGACAGGGCTGCGTGAAAGTTGGTGTGGGAACTGGCGGAAAAGTGGCTCAAAGCGAAACACACCTGGCACCAGGTGGCAGGAAAGCGGAACGCCCGGTGCTCAGGAGGAAGCTGCCTCAGAAGCTCGCGCGCAGGAAAAAGATGCCGCGCTGGTCATTCCAGCAGGCGGTGGGGTGACGCGCCAGCCGCGCCACAAACATCCTCCTCCTCCTCCGCCTCCTCCTCCTCCTCCTCTTTCTTCTCCTGAGCTGCGCAGAACAAAGTAGCAGCGATGGCGAGGCCATGTGCGAGATTTGGCTCTCGACGGTGGACCAGTGAAGGAGACCCGTAGATGCAGGCTGCACAGGAACGGACCCGCAGACATGGCCAGCTTCGGCATCGACGAGGGGACCAACCGTGAGTTCGGAAGCGACAACAGCGCCGACGGACAGGGGAGCGCTCGCGAACGTCACGAACCCTGAGACGCGCATCGGGAAATTCGCCGCGAAGCCGCTCGTGAACATGACTGGCACCTAGGAGAAGGCGGCGCTTTAGGTTCCTGCCCGCGGAGTCGACAAAGATGCTCTCGCCGTTTGTGTTGTCGATTTCGTCTCTTCCTCTCTCTGTCTCGTTCACTTCCCCCCTGTCTCTCTGCTCGTTCACTTCCCGTGCACTGCTTCCTTGACGGTCGGGTCGACACTGACGAAGCAAGCGAACCTTCAGGTGATCTCGCTGCGGAAAATCAAGCTGCCCCCCTTTTTTCACTCGCTCTCTCTCTCTCTCTATATCGGGGGGTGCCGGCCGCTGTCAGGGGTTTGCCCCCCCCTGGCGTTGTGCAACAAGGTCCTCGCCGACGGCCCCTCTCCTCACTTATCTCAGTATCGTCGCCACCGGTCCGTGGTATCTCAGCCCCACCATCCCACCACCGCGGGTGGGGACAGGCTCCTCGAGACCCGAGGGGAGCAGGGGCAGGCCGGCCCGCGGGGCTCAGGCCACGCCAGTGGGGATAGGGATCGGTTAAACGATGCTCATCTTACTGTTCTGACCTCCGCTCATGTGAGCGTTTTGCTATTCACTCTTTGGCCGACTGGCGCGGGCCCTCGCCCTCCCCCCCCCCCCCTTGTGGAGTAGATCTTGGCTGTTTTTTGGGCGCCTGTCTCGAGCGGGTGGAGTCTCCCCCAGAGGCAGCACTCTTGCAAGCCGTCGCACTGGAGCCAGACCCCCCCCTCCCCCCCCCTTCCGCCCAATGTCGACACGACGAATAAGATACGTTCCCCGTCTGGGCAACGCGACCGCCCAGTCGAGGACCCGTCGCTCGCCGTCCGCTTCGCCGACGAGGGCATTCAGAAGGAGGTCATGCGGCTCTTCGAGTACCGCTGCCGCGTCCAGAAGGACAGCCATACGGGGCCATGGCACGCGGTGTCGGGAGGGAGGAGGAGGAGGAGGAGGAGGAGGAGGAGGAGGAGGAGGAGGAGGGGGAGGAGGGGGAGGAGGAGGAGGAGGAGACTGCTTGTTTTTTGATGGGGCTGGCGAGAGCCCGGGTCATCGGGCCCGCTCGCTCCCCCACCCTCCCCCCGCACAACCTGACCCTGTCGGCTGCGCAGGTCCGGGGGGGGTGCGCCGTGCCGGTGCGCGCGGGCATACGTGGGGCGGTCCCAAGCAGAAAGGTTAGGTTATCCGTCAGCACCTCCTCGGAGGTGGATAGACCTCCTACCCTGACACGTCGATTAGTGAATTGGCCGTTTGCGGTTCGCGAGAGGGCGTCGCGGCCGTCATTTTTGCGGGTCCAGGTCCGCGGGTTTCGGTCCCAGGCCGTTTTCACTAAGGGGAGGTTTGCTAAAAGGGAGGTTTGTCCACCGCCGACCCCCCCTCCGCCGGATAACCCGGGTTATCGCCAACAAAAAATGAAAGCTGGTCTCGAGAGGGCGTGGAATGGCAGGGGGGCTAAGAGGGGGGGCAGGTGGAGAGGGAGCGGGAGGGATGGTACCCAGGGGCCAGGAAAGCTGGAGAGGAGGGATAACCACAACGAGAAGGAGAAGGAGGAGGAACAGGACAAGGCAAGAACATGGCCTCCATATTGATCTGTCTGACAGTATCTTGCTGTATTCCTAACGGAGGCGGTGAAGGATCTCGAGACCTGCTGGGTCCTCGCCTCACAGCGCATCTCGCCACGTTCTAGCTAGTTGTCAGCAGGCAGACGTTGGCTTCCATTCCTTTCGGAGTCGAGCCCTATCCGGCAGCTAATTCGCTTTCAGTGTTCGCGTCGCGCCTTCGCACTCGTCATGATCATGTAGTGGTTCGTGGCTCTCTGAGAACAGCACACTTAGTAAACAACTTGTCTGACGTGCCTGCCACCTGAAGCAAACATTCCAGCCGACCAGTCAGTCTGGGAGCTGTATGCGAGACATGTGTCTCCTGAGGGTGTCGAGGTTCTTCGAGTCGGGGCGAGGCATCGGCGGATCTTGCGCATACGGGGCTTAGGTCGAGCCAGCCACTGCTGGATAGCCTGGTGCTCCAGGGCACAGCCTGGTGCCCGATGCTGCGGACTGTCCACACGCAGCGTGCGCACGGACGACCACAACGGTGCTCCAGGCCGTGGATATCCATCCCGCAAGTCTGTGGCTGCAGACCCCCGACGTCATGATTCAGTCATGACGTAGACCCCCAGGAGTGTCGACCCATTCCCTGGGACCGGTTTTTCATCCCGAGTCGTTTCTTGATGGTCCCGAGGGCTGGTGCGGGCCTCTGGAGGCCGAACATACGGAACATCCTCCCGTCGTGATCTGCTCATTGCCCGATGGGGGTCTGCGCAGCGGAGCTACGCGAGGCACTTCGACGACGACTCGTCCAGCACATCTCGCCCCACGACGTACCGTACTCCAGATTTCGTAATAAAAGGGAGGGGGTCTGGACCCTCCAAGACAAGCCATTTCAGACCCCCCCCCCGGTGGGAGAACCCTCCAAAACATCGTCCCCACACCCCCCCAGGCCCTCCAAGATAGCCTGGAAGAGACCCCCCCCGAAATGAGACCCCCCTCAATTACGAAATCTGGAGTACCTACCATACTCGGGGGGGCTTCAGCTGCGCCGCGGAGGCGGGTGACCGTCGCCGCACCGCCACAGCAAGTGCGTCCACCGGGCGGCCCTGGACCGACGCGGCGGGGGTCGCCAGCCTGCACGGCCGCAGGGGCTACACGAGCTCTAATTTTTGCCCGCCATGTCTTACACTGTAGGCGATGCTTAAGAAAACTTAAGGTTTCGTCCAGAGTCTCGATTATTCTTAAGTTTTCAATGTGAATCCCACGATTTTGATAGAAACGTTGGGTTTTTATTCAAGTTCTGAGACTCTGAATTTCTTAACCCATGATTCCTTAGGCATTTCGCAGGGTGTACGCCTCTCCTACCTTTCGCTCGCGCCTCGACTGGCTGGCTCTGCACCAACCAATCTGTGGCGGAAGGCCTCGACGGGGCGATGAGAATGGTGCTGCGCTCGCACGGTGTCCAGAAAGTTGTCCCGGCACTGGCCGGTCAGCTTTCGCCGAGAGGCCCCACAGCGCACGTCGGATATGCGGGCGCCGCTCCCAGATCGGCGAGTCCGAGGGGAAGTGAGAAGGGGCGGGCCTTCTCAGAAGGCTCGGAAGTCCCCCAGCCTCCCGAGAAGTCTTCAATGCATTCCCCGAAGACGCAGGACACTTCTCAGAAGGCCGCAGCGCTTCTGAGACGCTCCGCCGCCTTCCGAGTGCACGGTTCCCCCAGGGGCCGTAGGCGACCCGAGGAGGGGGAGGAGGAGGAGGGAGGAGGGGGAGGGGGAGGAGGAGATGGAGGAGGAGGAGGAGGAGGAGGAGGAGGAGGAACTCGGCAGCGGCTGGAAAGGTGCCACCACATTAAACATGCATCAAAAGGCAACAAACTCCAACGAGTTAGCAGGGGCCGCTGACCTCCTCGGGCGGCACAGCCTGCCGTCGGCGCCCCCGCGCTCGAAGACCGAGAGACTCGGCCTCCTCCCGAGATCGGAGCCCAAACAGAGACAGGCCTCGATGAAGGTCGACCCCCGTGCCCGCCCACCTCACCGCCCCCGCCCACCCCCGAGAAGAGGCAGCCAGAGGGCCCCTGGGCGGTGGCGGCGCGAGCGGCGGAGCGAAGTCGAGAGACACCTTGGACGCCAGGAGGTCTCGAGCGGGGTCCGACAGAACGGGCGCTCGGGACACACGAAAACTGCTCTTTGGATGGGTGGCGACCTTGCGAGATCCAAGCCAATTGCCGCGCTCGGCCCGCCGAGCGGTGCCCGCCACAGACTGACGCGAGAGCAGACTTTCCCCCTGTGTCCCCCTGCGGTGCATGGCGAACCACAGGTCGTGCAGAAGGCGATCGAACCCCGATCGCTTCCTTTCGCATTTTGGACCTGCGCCTCAATGATGGCGTGTCCCAGAGCGGGCCAGACCCATAGCTCTGGCCACTCGACAGGAGCGGCCGCATCCGTGTCCCTCACCCCACTCCCAAGCTCCGACCCCGTCCCCCGCCCAGAGCCAGGGAGGGAAGGAGGAGGAGGAGCAGCTTCAGGGAGAGGAGGGAGGTCAAGGGAGATGTGACGGAGCCACTCGAGGCCGACATGATCAAACTCCTGTCGGTCGCCAATCCGAGCCTCCTGTTCCGCCGAATACTTACACAACAGGCGGGCCAACTCATGGCACCCTTCGACAACGAGCCTATCGGGGTCGGGGATCCTACCAAGAGCGGCTCCTTTCTTTGCAAACTCTTCAGCCGTTCGATTCCCTAAGTACTCGAGCGTGCTGAGCTTCCCATGATCAACATCTCGCAAGGTGCAATGGGCGGGATCCTTGCACCACGAGACTCCGTCCAACTGGGTTGCTTAGCCGAGCTCCACGGCTTGGCCTTGCCGGCCGTCTGGAGCGCATCTTCGAAAGCCGACTGGGGCACATGCTTGGAGACGTTGCGATGTCACCAAACAGAGACGAACGTCTTGACGGCATCCACCGTCACATAAATAAATGGGTCTCGCTGCGGGGCCCCAGAGAGGAGGGAAGTGAAGCCCGGGGAAGGCCCAGGCAGAAGGGGGCCGAAGGCCTGGCCAAGGCAACTCTCAGGGCCCTAAGGGCCGAGTTCCGTAGACCATTAATGTGCGCCCCCAACGCGGCCTTAGCGACTGGCCCAGCCCTGTGCACCCGAGAAGCCCCCCGCCCCCTCCCAATCTTGGATAGCCGAGTCGCCGAGGCCGACGCGGCTGAGAGGCGCTGATTCTGCGCAGGCACGCGGCGCGCTTTGCCATTAGTAGCGTCACCGCCCAAGTCGCGATGGGTGCTGGCCAGGAAGCTCTTGTCGAATGGCCAGTCCTCATCGTCCAGCAAGGCCCCCAGCAGCTCTTGGCACGAGCAGAGGAAGCACGTCTTCGCCAGGTTGAGCGGCAGGCCAAGCTTGCCCATCTCGGTCGAGACGGTCGCCGCAGCCCTGACGAGCTGCTGTGCCACGGTACGCAGCGTGCCCACCGCGTGGATCTTCAGGTCGCCCACAAGATTCAGCGGCCGACACACTGGCGTCTCAATCGCCACAGTTCTGAGCACGCACAAAGTCATGAGCTTCACAACGCCAGCCGCGCAGCTGCAGCCAGCGATGACCGTGCCAGTCGGCAGCACTTGCCGAGAGGTAGCTCCAAGCCAACGGGCCCTCCGAGGCCCTCGGTGCACCGCGCGCAGGCACTTCGGCAGCTGCTCGTCGAAGCCGTAGTGCCTGCCGGCTGCGCGCGTAGCAGCGTGAGAGATGCTCTCGTCGAACTTACGTACATCGTAGTCCACCGTGCCACTTGCAAAGTCGTCTCTTCGCATGGACCACCGGCAGGTTGGGGACGTAGGCCGCGGGAACCGCGGCGGCGTCGCCCGACTTGCCCCAGAAGAGGCTGGCGTCCACGCTGACCTCCCACGCGCGAACAAGAGGCTGCCGTTTTCTGGACCACGCTCGGGGCCATCGGGCCAAAAGCCCGATAGGCCCGCGCCCAACATCAGGCGGCGCCTTCGGGATGAACGCCACCATCGTGGCCCAGAGCTCCGGAGCACCCGCCGTCCTCTCGAGCTCGCCAAGGATGGCCGCGAAGCGCATGGCCGTCGTGTCCGAGAGCTCGTTCAAGAGCCTCGGGTGGGAGTTGTCCCAGCCAAGCCCTTTGCGACGGCCAAAGCGGAACGTCGCCGCACGAACCTGCTTCCACACTGATCGGCTTCATTGTGTGCTCGACCTGCCAGGGCGCCGCTGGAGGCTCGAGTGCCCTGGCATCTTTCACCCAGAGCGGCAGCCACTCCTGCTGCGCAGTCTCTACAGCCAGCGAGCCAACCTGCGGCGGCGCCTCGATATCCTCTGCGAAAAAAACGACGGGCTGCGGTTCG